TGATTAATATCTAATTTCATTTGTTCAACAAATATTTGTTGACTTGTGCTACGTATGTGCTTGGCACCAAGATAGGCCCAGAAATAAAGCAGTGAATAAGACACAAAATACCTTTGTCTCACAGAGAATGTGTTTGTGTGCCTGCATGTGTGTGTACGCATACATCTGTTTAATGTTGATTCAGGCTATGGAATTCTAAAATGTTACATTGTACCATTTTTACTTAGAACATTCAAATGGGATGACAAGGATTTATCCATCTTAATTATGCTGTTTTCAAGGAAAAATGTAAAACCTAAAACAGGGAAATACTACAGTTATAATTTTGGTCTATCAGCAAGTGATTTGGGGAAAAAATGAATAAGATAGACAAAGGAGACTGAGCAAGCTGAGTGATGAATGAGATGATATTAAAGTTTCTGGCAGAGAACATAGGTCATATTAAACACAGAAAGGGGAGATTCATTTGGGTACATAAAACTGTGGCATCTCCATTCAGAGGAACTACTCCCTGCATTTGTTCTATTATAAAGCTATTAACTTCTACGAAAATAAAAATTAAATTTGCAAGCTGGAAGAAGCTTATGGAATTAATTATGATGATATGTGAAAAGAAAAGAGGAGGTGTTTCCATCGGGCTCTAAGTGTATTAAAGAACATGAATAGAATGGAAGGAATATCTCCATTTGGGGTTTGTAAAAGACTTTCCAGGAGGAAATATTCAGATATTTTAGGAATTGAGTAAGGTTGGTTTTTACATATAAGTTTCCTCAAGTAATCTCACATGAATTATAAAAGTAAATGTGTTATGTATTCTATACCTTCCCCAATTTTTTTGGACACTTCCAACAGGACACCCTCCCTATGGGAAACTGTGAACATGGTGTGGAAATTTTTCTGATAGAATGATCCTATGGGATCCTGCTTCACAATGAAATGGAAATGAAGCCTCTAAGTGGCTTTCAATCAAATGAGAAAAAGTGAAGCAAAAATGTATGACACAAAGTATTATAGATAGCTCTTGGATTTCTAAAATGAACTCTAAGCTCAAATTATCAAGGGGCAGCATCTGAATGCTGAGGAGGAGAATCTGTCCCCATGATCCATATTGACACACTCACAAGCTGCCTTGTCACTTTTCTCCTTGTTTATTTGTTTGCCAGAAAGATAGATTGACTAATCATAAACAATGGGGGAAATGTCAGTTTAAAAGCAATAAAGTAAAAAACAAAACAAAACAAAAAGCATGAAAAGAGGAATTGAAATCATAAGGTGAATGTGTATAATATAGTGCCAGGCGGGGGGTAATCCAGGCAGACTCAATCAGACACAGGGCAATGAGAGTTACTTTAGTAAAGTCTTCGAAAAGTCTTTAGGGCCTTGGACATAAAAGTCACTGGAGGTCTAAATGTGTTACATGTTATGACTCTAGAGTTGGGTCTAGCACCAGTAGATTGTGGTTGATTAAAAACACAGACACTGGCCCAGTTGTCATACTATTAAGCTGAAGGTACATAAAAGTGTATGTGATACACAAAAGATGAAAATGGGACTACAGGTGTTCAAATCATACCATGTACTTTGTAATCTTGAGTTCCAAATAATGTGAGTTCTGCAAGTACTTTCTAAAGGTGAATTTAATTTTCATAGTTTAATAAGTTACATAAAGCCTTAATAACATATAAGAATGTTCAAGCATTTCATAGTGCAGACTTCAAGTATAAGCAAAAATTACTCAAGGTTTTAGGACGGTCTCTAAACCTTAGAACAAACACCCCATGAGATCTTTAATGTCATTACAAAGCAAAGGAGTCTAAGTTTATAAGTTCTCATCTGAAACACCCTAACACAGTGAAGTACGTGCCGGTTGATTTATCCCTTCTGGAAGAATGAAAGGTTGCATTGGACCTGGTGAGATTTTAACCTGTGATCCTAGAGAATCTTCCAGAGCTTCAAACCTGAAGTTTGATGTGTAACCTACTGGTTTAAAGGGACCTACATATTAGTACTGGAGAGTCTGACATAGTGGGTGGGTACATCAGACATCAGAAAGAGCAATTTAGTCAGCAAGACACCTATATTCCCTGTTCTAATCATAAAAAAAGATAATCTTTCCAAGAGCTACCACAAGAAGAATTTTGATAGGCACTGAGTGAAAGCAAGTCATATTGCTGGAAGTTTCCTTTATGGAGCCTCAGCCTCAGTTTGGAAAAGGGTCCCAATTATTTCTGAGAATGTAATGGCTCATTTTTACTAGAAAGGTATTTGAGGTGTATATTATGCTATGTTCAAATTTGTAAGATATTGTTGAATATACATCATTTTTAAGTTCAAAGTACAATGATCTTATTTATCTTGATTTAATTAATACTTCTTAGTATCACAGTTCATTATTACATGGATTCAGGCAGACGCATTACATTCCCCAAAACATAACTCGGCATACTAATGACCTGCTGCAGCACTGGCTCTTACTAAGGGGAGCTTTTAGAAATGACATTCCCCACTCCTTACTACCACTCCCTACAACCTGTCCCATGGCTGCTGTTTTTGAGCCAAACCTCCCCGAATGTAGTATTTTTCACACTTTATGCTTGTATGCTATTTTCATTTGTGGAAGGCAGAAGAAGGAGAGGGAAAAGGAGAAAGAAGACAGAAGGAGAGAATAGAATTTTCAGAGGATAAAAGACAAGCTCCATCTTTTTGTACTGTGATATAAATCTCAGTACAACTAAGATTTTTTGAATCCGAAGCAGTATCAATTTTGTGACCAATTTTACTCGTTAAATTATATTTTTTTCTGCTCCTATTATCAATTTTGCCCAAATGATTAGATTTGCTTTGAAGTTAATGCAATTTGGTTTTAAAAATAGCCAAAGCAAGCAGAAAGCTTTAAAAATATCTAAATATTCTTCTTATTTTTTCTAAATTATCTTACCTTGCCTTTGTTTTTTATTGTCATCTCCCTTTTTTACCATCCGATTCTGTTCTCAAGAAAATTAATCTACTTCTAGAATAATGGATTCTGTATTGCTGTTAATTCCAGAAATAAAAAAGAAAGTTTTACTAAAATTTAACATATATAGTGTCCTTTCATTTCCCCAGCTCTCCCTACAAGAAGGAATTAAGAAGGAGCCTCAAAAACCAACAGTCACACATATACATTGAACACAGCTATACAATTCATTGAAAGAACATTTTGGTAGAAATTGGCATTTTGCATCTTGACTGATTTAACTGCCTAATGACAACTCTTACCACTTAAAATACAGTCTGGGGGAAAAATCCCTCCCACACCTGTGATTGCATATTATTCACTATGCTTTGGGTTGGCAGATTAAATAGAGGATGCCCAGTTAAACTTGAATTTCAGACAAAGAACAAGTAACTTTTTAGCATAAGTATGTCTAAAATATTATACTAAAAGTCAGTGTTTGTAATCTGAAATTCAAATTTAACTGGTGTCTTTTAGTTTGATTTGCAAAATCTGGCAATTCCCATTGTGCTTAAGGATGAAATAAAAATGCTTGCATGACCTGAAAGGTGAAGAGTACTTTCATAGTGCAAGGTTTTTGCAGAGTTTTCATCTGTAATTTGAATAAACTGTTGCTTGAAGTTTTAAACAAATTGTTTCTAGCTGAGGAGGCTTATCTTGACAACTAGCCACCTGTGGGTGTTCCTTCTGTTAATCTTAAATACTTTGGTGTTAAGAATTGTTATTTTGATGCCGTATCGATGTCTGTTGGCCTTAGTGGTAAAATTCAAATTTGCATTTTGATAGTACCAGGCCAGACATAGCTATAGTCATAGTAAAATGTTTTAAGATTACAAGACGTCTGGCTTTCTCAAAATATCTCCTTGACTCTTCTATCACTAGCAAAATGGTAATTTTGTTGGAAAGGGGAGGGATATGTCTCACTTCCCAAAGTCATGAATAGACACAAACCTTAGAAAAGTGCTGAAACTGGGAATTAGATGCCTATTCACTGCAGTTTTCATCTTTCCTCTTCCCAGAGTGTTGGCTTCAGTCTTTTCATTATAGACTCTTCTTGGCTCTTTGCTCCACAGATAAAACATTGGCACCCCAAAGTTCTGACTTTAAACATACGGATGCATGCCATCAGAACTTCATTTCAGTTCCAATTCTCTAAGAATAAAAACCATCATGCCCAACTTGGAACAGATGAACACCTTTGTGCCAATAAGCTATTATCAATGGGGCAGTATCATCTATTAGATGCCTATCCTAATGGTGGCTTACTCTTGAATGTGGAGTAGCATCTATGGAAAAGACAAGATATTAATGTGTAGGCTAGAAAGATAGCTCAATATGTACCCATTACAATGACCCAAGGGAGGTAAGTTTATAAGTAAGAAAGATACAAGATAAATTCTAGGGCATAGGATGAGATCAGGCTTGGGTAGGTTGAAGCTTATTGAGCACCTCAGGAAGAGGGTAGAGCAAGTATGGAGTAAAGAGAAAATCAAGGAAACCTTGGCCTTACCCCAGAAATCTTGGAGAGATCAACTATTTCAATGATTAGCAATGGTGATATTTTAAACTCCTCTTTTGCAGTGTTTTATTTTAATGCCAAACTGAAATCTGAATTTCGATGATGCATTTTATAATTTTCAGCAAAAAAAACCCCCAAAAACCTCAAATGTGTAGTAAATGAATATGAAAAAGACACTACGCAAAGTTCTGATTTTTTTTTTTTTTTTTTTTTTTTTTTTTTAACTGGCTGCATGGAGTTTATTTTCCGCTTGGTGCCAGGTGCACAGTTCCAGGTGCCAGGAAAGCTAGCCAGTGCCGGGGCCGGGCGGTAGAGAGCTGGGCCCTCACTCCTTTTTGGTGTCTGCTGTGTTGATGCGAAGGTCTGCTTGCTGCAGCCGCCTGGTCTAGAGGGTGGGGAGTGGGCGTTGGGGAGGGGGCGGGGGGCGGGGAGGGGCTCTGGTGGACTAGCGCCTCCACAGGCCTGGGCTGGTGGTAACCGCTCAGGTCAGGACCGGGGCCCAGCGCTGGCTGTGCTGGACTCGGGGCGTCCCGAGCCAGAACACCGGTGGTCATGCTGCTGGAGGCCTGGGGGGCCGGGGGGCGGGGGTTCCGGGTGCTTTGCGGACTCCAACACCGTGGCCATGAACTGGAGGGTGGACTTCCCGAAAAACAAGCTGGCCCACCAGTGACCCGGGTCAGCCTTGGGGAGACCTGGGGGGTGGGGAATGGCTTCCCCGGGGCACTCGATACTGCCGCAGGAGCTGTTGCTGAAAGTGGAATCCAGGCGGCGCCGGTAGTAGTCGTAGGTGGCCAGGAGCGAGCCGCTGGAGGGGATGGCCGCCATGCTCTGGCTTGCTGGCTGGTGGGACCTCCTGAAGTATGTTTTTAAAAGTGCATATGAGAGAGAGGTAATGTAAAGACTTTGTATTTTTCTAGATGTAAGTATTTGTTCATGGCAGTATTGGTTGGAAGAGTTTTGTTTGTTCAACACAACATTGATTTAATGATAGTTGTGTTTAACAATTTTTAAAAGAAAAGTTAGCGGTGACCTCATTAGTTTGTTTAGAAGTAGAGCACTCTGTTTCTTTCATTAAACTTTGATGGAGATTTTTGGTACTTCTAGATTAGCACTCATGTGAAGTTACAAATTAAAATCTTACTTTTGCTTTCTCCAATGTCTGACTAATTCTTAGAGGAGCTTTTTAGTAGTAATAGCCAAAGGCAACTATAGCACTTAAAGGAAAGGGATTGGATTGAATTTTTAAGGTGAACTGAGTCTAACTACTGTTGAAATAAGTGTTAGGTTTGAAGAGGCAAATCAAGTGTATTTAATGCTAACCATGTTCTAGGCGTTATTCTAGGTACTTCATGAATATTAACTTATTTATTCCTCAAAACAGTACTTTCAAGTAGCTGCTAATATCATTCTGATTTTTCAAATGATGAAACTGAGTCACAGAGAAGTTCAGAGATTTTTCCAAGGACACACATCCTACAGTGGTGGAGCCAGAGTTTAATTTCTGTGGTCTTTGGTCCTTATCACTGCTACATGCTCTCATGTAACTAAAACATTAACACAATGATTAATTCATAAACATAATATTTTCAAAAACGATAGCTAAATGTTAATATGGTTGTTCATATTCCAAGATAATTATTAGGCTTATTTATTTTATTTTTTTCTCTTGTTATTTTTATTTCAATAGTTTTTGGGGTACAGGTGGATTTGGTTACATGGATGAGTTCTCTTGTGGTGATTTCTAAGATTTTAGTGCGTTCATCACCCGAGCAGTGTACACTGTACCCAATACATAGTCTTTTATCCCTCACCCCCCTCCCAAACTCTCCCCCACCCTCAGATCCCCCAAATCCATTGGATTACTCTGTATGTCTTTGTGTCCTTAAGACTTACTTATTTTAAATGTTTGATGTATTCATATTTATGACACCTTTCCCCCTTCGTGTTCTTTTACCTTTAAATAAATATTTATTACATTAAAACCAAGTATAGAACCCCCAGATTCCGTAACATAGAATAATCCTGCCTGAACATATTAAAAATTCATTCTTAAGAAATGTTGCAGGCCAGGCACGGTGGCTCATGCTTGTAATCCCAGCTCTTTGGGAGGCGGTGGAGGGCGGATCATGAGGTCAGGAGTTCCAGACCAGCCTGGCCAACACAGAGAAACCCTGTCTCTACTAAAAAGACAAAAATTAGCTGGGCATGCTGGCAGGTGCCTGTAATTCCAGCTACTTGGGAGGCTGAGGCAGGAGAATCTCTTGAACCCGGGAGGCGGAGGTTATAATGAGCAGAGATCGTGCCACTGCACCCCAGCCTGGGCAGCAGAGCTAGACTCCATCTCAAAAAAAAAAAAAAAAAAAAAAAGAAAAGAAAGAAAGAAAGAAAGAAAGAAAAGAAATCATGAAAAATGTATAAAAATCTTAAAAGTTCTTACAATAATTTACAATAAACATAAGACTTAAATGAACATAAACTTAAACATTGGAGATACAGTATTATAGCAGGCCAATAACACTCATAAAAGCTGTTTTCTCTGTTTGATTTCTCCTTAATTAAGGGAAGGTGATATTTACAATAATAAAAGTATCTGATATAGGAATGGGAGATTCTTTTTAATATGAAAAATTATACTACCTGACACTGTTTCAAAAAGTAATGACTTAATAATGATAGAAAAAAATTCTGGTTATTAAAAATAACATAAAAGTGTTCTTTATTTTGGGAAGGGCTTCAAAATCATCAATTATATTTCATATTCACTCCAAGTTGTAAAAACTATCTTGGAATAAGTGTATCTGTATTATTACGTAATTTCCATAAATGGAAAACCACCTTTCCCCCTCCTCTAAGCTTTAATAAAACAGGCAAATATACATCTCAATAGCAGATTAAGGCTTTTTTTGTAGCTAAGCCTAATTAAAATGGCAACATTCCAATGCTTTCTTTACCAGGGAGCAAGGACATCTGCAAGGGATAAAAAGATAGCAAGCATTTTGATGCATTTGTTTCCAGTCTTTAAATGTGGCAACAGAAAACAGGGATTGATACTGGCTAAGCTACAAGCAACATTTGAGTTAAATGTTTTAAAAGAGTACGGGAAATCAAAGCAGTTAAATAAATTGTGATTTTAGGTGGTTGTTTTGCCTGCTATTTCTGCCTGTTTTCGTAGCATAGACTTCCCCAAATCGTGTCCCAGCATATTATAATTCCCTCTTGGAATGATTTTATACAAGAGAACTCTACAAGAAAGAAGCTGGTTCATCTTTAATTAATCCAACATTTCTCAAACTCACTGACCTTGGAATACCTTTTGTTTTCTTTCTTTTCCAGCATCAACTACATGCACATTTGAGCACCGTTTGGGAAAGGCTGCTCTGGCATACTGTCCCTTGCCATTTTAGAATATTGCCTTAGTCTGTTTGTGCTGCTATAACACAATGCCACAGACTGGGTAGTTTATAAATAACAGAAATGTATTCCTCACAGTTCTGGAGGCTGGGAAATCCAAGATGAAGGTTTGGTGTCTGGTGAGAGCCCAGTCCCTGCTTCCAAGATGGTGTTTTGTAGCTGCATCATCTGGAGGAAATGAACATGATGTTCTTACATGGCAGAAGAGCAGAAGAACAAGAGAAGTTAACTCTCTGAAATCTCTTTTATAAGGGCATTAATTCTTTTGTGAGGGTAGAACCCTCATGACTTGGTCACTTCCTCAAAATCCCCACCTCTCAATATTACCACGGTGAGGATTAAGTTTTATATTTTGGGTGACATTCACACTGTACTAAATATTATTACTAAACCTCCAATGTTTTCAATTCTTTTCTGTTTCCTGATATTATTTCACAGTGACCATACATATTCTACATATTAAAGTGCCAATCCAAATTACAAGATAGGAAAGCAGTGAAGGAGAAAATATAACTTTCACTGCCACTTAGACGAAATCTTAAGGCATTTATTAAAAACTGCTTCTTTATGTTACACTGATATGTATAAATTCCCCTTTCCACTTCTCCGGTAATTGACTGAAAACATTTTGTGGCACAAGACTATGCTACATTCAGATTCATTCATAACTGTCTTAATACCTAGCAGTGTACCTAGAATACAGGAATAAACCAATAAATATTTACTGAATCAAATTAAAGAGCTTAGATTTCCTCAGCTTATTAATTTTCATTCTATGCCTCTTAAACCCTTGGAATTAGATCAGCTGAAAATTGACTCTGACTTTTTTTTAAAAAAGATTACTTTGTGTTCATGGTGGAATTTAGCAACAGGTGAATTAATAGTGAATTTCAAGTATACAAATGAGATAGCCAGGACACTTATGTCGATCATTTTTAAAATTCTTATATTGCTTCATACACATACTAGAACTGAGAATTCTAACAGTACTTTTTCTGAGGCTTTTGTTTATTTGTATATTTTATTTTACAAAGGATGAAAATTTTCTTTTCCAAAAGTCCAAATGAACTTGATGCATATTTTCTTTTAATTTCATCATTTTAAAAATCCCAAGGATTTTAAAACTATGAGAGAAAGATATGAAAACACTGCCAGGGGTATTTTCCTTGCAAGCAAATATTTCAGATGAATAAACTTCACTTAGTAGAAATATTTCAAAGCATCAGTTTTTCTCAGGTTACATTTTTCACCTGTCATGTGGCACAAGATGAACAGATAGAAGGTTACAAGAGCAAGATTTGGAAAAGGCTTTCTTTCACAAATAGCATCGCTTGTGCCCCCAGCTAGTTAAATTCTGTCCTGACAAGCAGATAATGAATATGTTTCTGTAATGCAGTGACTTTCCTTTATTTGCAGAAACTTTTATTCCACACACCATTCCATGAAAATAAAAATAAAACTCAGCCTTCTTTCAAAGGACAAATTTATTCCATAAAATAATATTCTAAAATTTATTATCTAATATTTATCAGCACTTGAGTTTTTTAAACACATCTTTAACAGTTATAATAGTCTGGCATTTTCTGCATAAATGTGACTTCAAATCAGTTTGGCAGGACAAAAATTCTAAGCTTCAATTACATACTGCAAGTGAAAAATACATATCTATTAATCTATAATAAAGTGTTTCAAGCATCTGCTAGGTTATTAGTAGCAACACTTTTAAAATTTGCAAATATTTTATTTCAGATAAAAAAATTTGTCATGATTTTTTCTTGTACAATACAAGAAATACAGTACAAGTAAATACAATATTTAAGCAAATACAATATTTAAGCAATTATTAAGCAAATATTTTTATTATTTTGACTTTCAGGTACAATTTTATTTATTTGACATATAAAATTACAGTGCATTAGAATTTTTTGCATTGACATTATGTACCGAAGTATAATGATTAGCTTTCGTTTAAGGAAACAAAATTTGCTCTAGGTATGTCAGGCAGAAAGGAATTTAATATAGAGGGTTGGGGTTGTAAATATGAACTGGAAACTGTCTGCCCTTTTTCCTGCTTTAAAAGATATTAGCAATGGCAGTGATGGTCACCTGTGGAAGGATGTTATCTTGAAGCAGGGAGTCAATGTAGTCAGGTGACAACCTGTAATGACAACTTGCACAGGCTTTACATAAGGACAGCCTGTTGGAACAGGAAGCCATCAATGCAAGCCTGTGAGAATTTGATACGTTGGAGCAAGGCAGTAAGTACATGCAGTCTGGCAGGGATGGTGATTAGTGACATTGAGGAAATTGGGCAAATAAATAAATGAAGTATGGAAACAGATTTCTCACTGAAGGAGAAGGAAGGTACAAATATGGACATAAGGGAAGTTGGAATAAACCTGTGGTGTTAGACTGAAATTGGCGGTACTGGCATAAACTCAAGGTTTTCAGATAGATAGATAGATAGATGATAGATAGATGATAGATGACAGATATGTAAAAATATAGTTATAAAGATGTATGTATGTGTGTGAATATGTGTGTAGTTGTATATCCATATTCATTCATACATATATTTTCTCACTCTGTTAATAGAAAGTTCTAGATGTAGCAACACCCCAGTAGCAATGAACTCTCCTGGCATGCAAAGCTTGGTTTCTAAGTACAGTACAAGTCTTCATTACAATAAAGTGGAGCTTCTGGGCAAATGGCAGAGTCCAGGACTGAATTTGGAAAAAACAAAACAAAACAACAACAAAAAATATGTTCCTGGAAGTAATAAAGTATGTAAATAAGTAATGCAACATTCAAAGAAAGAATAAAAGCATTTTGTAGGTCAAATGAAAAGGGACAAAGAAAACCTGCTTGAAGTGACTCCCACTGGCCAAACCCAAGAAACTTAAGCATCAAAATGAATATAAATAGTCACAGATACTAATCCACAGAATGACATAGAAATCCCTGAATCCATATGGATAAATAAGTATGAAAAAGAAAAACCTGCCCTTCCATCAATGCCAACCAGTAAATGTGAAAGAAATGACTGAATTTTAAAAAAAATTCACCATTTTGCAATTATCACAGTACTAATTCAGACAAGAAATATCAACGAGTACTAAAACTGTTGGGTGAAAGTGGAATGAGAGAAGAAATATTAATACAATGTCAAAATCTCCACAGAAAACACTTTGTATCTACAAAGTAAACAAAACCAAAGAAAACAAAACTTAACTGTGGAGAAACCTGTTATTCACAGTCTTAATCTTGTCATCGAAATTTAAACCACTACTACTGAGACAAATCAACATTGTGTGCTACCAGATAGAACATAATGAGAAGAACTGCATTACTTCTGTGCTATTCCTGCCCAAAATGTATAGCCCAGTTCTAATCATGACAAAATATCAGACAAATCCAATTGAGAAACATTCTACAAAATTGTTGACTTGTAATCTTCAAACACATCAGGGTCATGGAAATGAAAGACTGAAGCCCTGCTTTAGGTAGAAAGAGACTAGGAAGACAATTAGATGCAATGCATGATTCGTATACCATAAAAGACATTAGTGGGGATATGGGTAAAGCTTAAGTGGTATCTCCAGGTGAAAACTATGTGGGGCTTTGCTCTATTATTTCTGGAAGTTTGGAACCATTTCAAAATAACAATTTAAAACAAAAAGCACTAGAATGACGATGACTAAAGAGTCAGGTGAAAATGCTGATAATTTTCAAATTGCAACTGGCATTCTGAGAGTTGGAAAGCTGCAGAAGTTTCATAAACTTGCCAGTGACAATCCAGAAATCAGGCAGGTGATTCAAAACTAAACACACACAGGCTGTTGCAAAATTTCACATGTTAAAGACACACATCTGTCAGCTGTTGCCAGAGAAGAAGTCATATGGTTTTTGATTCTGTGCTTCCTTCCAAATCTCTTGTTATTCTCATTTGAGGAACAAACCTGCAATACTGCTGGTAGGAGCTTTTGGGAAATTCCCGAAAGTTCCCAGACCTCAACCCTCTGGTGTGTCTAGAAGTGGATGCTGCCAATAGACAATCTGGTGCACAAAGCATTACAGATCAATTTGGTTAACAGAAAGTTAACTGCTTTTTGTTATTCATTAATAAACAGGGTTGGCGAGACGCGGTGGCTTACGCCTGTAATCCCAGCACTTTGGGAGACCGAGGTAGGCAGATCACAAGGTCAGGAGATGGAGACCATCCTGGCTAACACGGTAAAATCCCATCTCTACTAAAAATAAAAATAAATAAATAAAATAAAATAAAAGATTAGCCGGGCATGGTAGCGGGCTCCTGTAGTTCCAGCTACTTGGGAGGCTGAGGCAGAAGAATGGCGTGAACCCAGGAGGTGGAGCTTACAGTGAGCCGAGATCGCATCACTGCACTGCAGTCTGGGTGACAGAGCAAGACTCAGTCTCAAAAATAAATAATAAAATAAAACGAGTTGCAGTTTGAAGGTAAACCCTTTCACTTTTTAACCAAATTTGCACATTCATTTATTTGTTCAGTAAGTATGAATTTTGTGCACCTAGTAAGTGGCAGGCACAATTATAGGTGCTAGGGATTCAATGGTAAACATGTCAGAGAAGGTTTTGGCCCTTTTCCAGTTTGAAGCTCTTATTGGGCCTAGAGAGACAGTAAGCAAGTTAGTGAAAAAGAAAACATTCAATCCAGACAGGTACTATGAATCAACTAAATATGGTCATGTGACAGAATACCTGAGAATGGGGGAGTACTTTATGTAGAAGAGTGAGAATGAGCTACTCATAGAAGGCATTGGAGGAACAGCATTCTGGGCAGATGGAGCTGTAAATCCAAGAGCCCAGAAGTGAGGAGGGTGCAGAGGCAGATGTAAAGAAAGGTGTCAGGCTAAGGAGTTTGTGCAATGATAAAGTAATCAAGCAGAGAAGTAATGTGATATGATCTATGTTTTAAAACTATACTTCGGGCAACTTGGTAGACAAGGAAGCATGGGGGTTAGGGCAAAAGTACAAGCAGGGAAGAAAAACTAGGGGGTTATTTTATAAGACTCAATTAAAAAATGATGATAAACTCTAGAGATACAAGACGTAAAGAGATGGAAGTATGTTTTGGAGGCAGAACTGGCAGGACACTCCTTTTTATTCTAGGTTATGTATATAATGTTGTTTTGTTGGTTGGTTTGGTAACTCAGAAAACACAGTGTGTTTCACCAAGGATGAAACTCCTACACAGGACAATTAAATGTTAAGGTTAACGTAATAAACATTTGTTTTGGCTACACAGAATCCTGTCATCATCTTTTAGTAACAGAAATCAATTTTACTTCACTTTTGTTTCCATGACTTTACTTTCACTTCCCCATAACAGACAGCCCTTGTGCAACCATCAATCACATTAATTCTACCTCCTCCACCCTGTTTCACCCTCACCAGTGGGTGAGCACTTGATCCAATCTATTCCATCCAGACTTTCCTCTCCCCAGAGGTATGGTAACTCTAGACCTTTCTCTGACCAGGTATATCACATTTTCGTCGAATGTAGGAGTTGTTCAGTGCAGTGTCCTTCCAATAAATTCCTTCTATATCTTTTCATCTAGACTCAATTTCTGTTGCTTATAACCAGTCCTAACTGACACAGTGATTTTCCTGACGCTTAGATATATTTACTTTGGAGTGTAGCAAAACATTCAAAGCAATTGTCAATTTAAAAAGGCATCATAAGACAGGACATAGTGGCTCACACCTGGAATCCTAGCACCTTAGGAGGCATAGGCAGGAGGATCTCTTGAGGCCAGGAGTTCAAGATCAGCCTAGGCAACATAGGGAGACTCTGTTTCTACTAAAAAAAGAAATTTTTTAAAGAAAGGCAACATAGAAAAATAGGGAGGAAATTAGCTATAATTTCCTATTACTAAAACGCATGTAGAAAAGCAAAACAGAGACTTCACCTAACTTTACGTTTAAAAATAAAACTAACCCACATATGTCTAAAACACATGCAAACATGCGCACACACACACACAATAATAATAATAATAATAATAATAATAATAATAATAATAATAAAGGTAGACTTTATGAGCAGCAACAACTCTTTGTTCTATCTCCACCTCCGTGCTAGTCCCTGGAAGTAACATCTTTTAATCATTTTGTTTTTTATACTTTTCATTGTATTCTTATTTTTACGTAAGTTACTAATTTTACTCTTCCTGTTTTTTTAATTGTAAATATTATTATCACATTCCTATTATGACATGTAAAGACTTAGATTCTTTGCATCAGCATTTTAAATTTTCACTTCATTTTAAAGCTACACACTTACATCCTTTTTTCTTATCTCATAAACTGAAGAGAAGATATCTGATTTCCCACAATACAAAAATGAGGATTTTATTTTCCGTAAATTTTCTTTCAGCTCTTAGTATGTGGCATCTGTTTATGTACTTTTACATTTTTAAGTTTGATACATTTTATATTTAATTCAGCAACTTTACAGTTATTGCATTTTGCCCATTGAATTTAAATGTTGAAAATTAATATAGAGAATTTTCATTATCATCACTCTCTCTCCCTTCCTTCCTTTCTACATTCCACAAGCTCTTAAACAGCATTTTTCTCCTAGTTAACACTGTTCTAGGAGTTGAGGCACAGTGGTAAATTCTGTCCATTACACAGAGAGATGATATGCATTATATATCTTATGCAATATTTTTATTTTCCTGGAAATGCTAATCCTTTTAAACCCACTCACACCAACATAAGCTTTTTTTTTTTTTTCTTTTTCTTTCTTTTTTAAATTCTCTGCTTACCATGTTCTTAATTGTGCAAAGTATTAGTTTACTAACTTCCCCTCTTCTCTCAGCCCTACTATTTCTCCGTGGAGACCCTCCTTCTGAAGCCTCCACATTTTGGTTCCAAGCTGGAACCGTTAGACATCTATCATCCTGGAGCAACCCTTCATAAATGTGCTGATTAGATCTGCCTCTAACCGGACCCCATGACTTCATTCTTTACTTAATCCCTTTTCATGCTGTGGCATATTTTCAATAAACTTTCTAAGATAATATGCAGGAAACACAGCAGTGTCTAGAAAGTCTTTCTTTTGTTCTTATATGTGATTTGATGATTTAGTTCAATATAGGATATCTAGTCTAAAATTATTTGTCCTCATAATTTTAAAGGCATTTCTCTGTTATTTTCTAGCATTTAATATTGCTGATAATGTCTGATGTCAGTCTGATTTTGCTCTTTTTGTAAGAAAAAGAAAGATTTTGTCTCCTTCCTTTTTCCTTCCTTCCTGTATTTCTTCCTTTCTTCCCTTCTTCTTTCCTTTTTTGTTCATCTCCTTCCCTTCTTTCTTTCTCTCTTTCTGGAAATGTTTGAGGTTTCTCTTTATTTTTAGTGTCTTAAAATTTTACAATGATTTATTTGTTTTTTAACATTTGTAGTTCACTATTTGTTTGTTATTATATTTTTCCTGGGATCAGCATTCTCTGGGACCTTTCCATTCTGGGATAATTTCATTGAATATTTATATGATAATTGAATGCCATCTATTGATTTTTGTTTTCAAATTCTAGAATTCTTAATACTTGGATAATGGGCTTAGTGGATAGAATATCCACATCTCTGTATGTTTTACTTTTTTATCTTCTTATTCTAATATTTAATTTATTTCTCTGACAATCAGAAAGCCTGTGTCTGCAATCAGGGACTGACGGACTTCCACTGCCTCATAAGGGCTGCACAGGGAAAGAGAGGGTACCTGAACAAATGTGAAAGTCTTTAAGGAAGGAGGAATGGAAACATGAATACTAAAAAGGCAACCAAAGTATCCATTATACTTGCAATCTATTTCTATCAACCAGTCAGTTCATGACAATATATTCAAGTTGCTGTGCCATAGAAGGTGTTTGATAGACTCCAGTAAATAAACCATTATAATGGAGATATTTATGCTAAGATGATGAGCCTGGTGAGAGAGGCAGGGTCCAGATAAAGGAGAGTCTTACAAGCCATCATAAGGAATTTGGACATTAGTTTTATGCATCAGAAATTGTTAAAGGGTTTTATGTAGAAGAGTCACTTAATACCACCTTTAAATAATATCTCCTGGGGACAGCTGTTTGGTGGCTGGACTTACAGAGAGCAGGGCTAGAGTCGGAGAAGCCATTTAGGATGCTCTTTGTATGGCTTCCCATCAGAATTCTGAAATTTTTAATCCCTTTGCATCTGTTATTCTGATTATTGTTTTTGAATGTTAATTGCCAAAATATAAGCTTAGATGAGGTGAATTCTCTCAAGTCTATTGTTAAACAACTACAGGCATCCTTTTCATAGCTTGTTTTCTCATCACAGATATGCTAAAAATCACATCACTGCCATCTAATTTACTTTGAGGAATGTTTTAGGAATTATATCCTCTCCCGTCCCCTTTGCTTCTATTTCATGGGACATAGGCTGTTATTTAATTAATGTTTAAATCTACAATATGATTAGTTCACACACAGTATATGATACTTGTTTATTCTACTGTTTATCAATTTTTTGTCAAAGTTCTTTGCAAATTGATTTACACTTCTAAATTCAGGGTTTTTGTTTGCAAAGTATCTATAATGTGGTAGTTAAATATAGCTTTTAATAACAGAAAATTCAAAAGCAAATCTAAACTAACATAAGTATGTCTACCTAAAATTATGAAAGTTTTTTTTTAACTTTTGCTCTGAACTTTACCCATTTTGCCTAATCCTGATTATTTTTTAAAGTGCATCTGCTAAGAATTCTGCAGTATTTCTACAAGCTGGCATTTTGATATTTGAAAGGATTATTTGAAATTTAGATTTGGCATCTGTCAGAAAAAAAAAAAAAAACAACACTGTCATCCTATTGGATGTTATAATATAGCAGGTAATGATTGCTGAAATTTAACCAATCATACAGAATGACAGGGGAAAAATACCCAGACAAGAATTTTATGTCAAAACCATGGAGGAAAAAGCAAAAAAGCTGCAAATTAATGCCGTCCTAGTATAATAGATTTTATTCTGATTAGCCTATGCAAAGTTGATGGTGCCAGATAATCCACAAACAGAGTCAATATAATATTGTTTTGTAAAGTCCTGTCAGAAACTTTTACACTGTTTCCAGTATTGTGATCCTCAGTTCGAGGGCCTGTCTGACAGTCTAGGACACAGAGAGCTGTCAACTCAGGAGCCGGCCCAAGATGATTGTTAAGGGGATTTGGTACTCCTTCTATTTGCCTAATAGGGAGCCTTGCGCTCAGCATTTCCTGAAGCAAAAGAAGACAGATGAAATCTCTGGGCACTTCATTGCTGCTGCCTCTCAAAGATTTCCTGTCAAAACGGGCCTATAAGGGGAGAAAGGTTTTCAATAACATTTTTTTTTTCTTTTTTTTTTTTTTTTTTTACCTGGCAGGATTTCCAGCCTTGCTATGAAAAGAGTTTGAAGGTTCTGTCTTTGTTAAAGGCGGGGAGGGGCCAGAAGAGGAAGAGGAAGAGAAAGAACAAGAATAAGAAGAAAAAAAAAATGCTGTCAAACTACCAGATCTAGTTGTGTTTAAAAATAAAAAAAGCAATAGAGGAATATGGCTCATATTACCAGAGCACACACAGAAAAAAACAGCTTTGATTGACGCTTTATTCATATTTTCTATAGGCTGGTTTATTCCGCCCCCGCCCCACTCCACCCCACTTCAAATGGAGAAAGTGACCCTGATGGTCTCGGGAAAAGCATGTTTGTTGTAAACTATCTTCAGGACACTTTTAGTAGCTGATGTAGGAAAAGGGGAGCGCAGGTCTCATTTTCACCAAAGGGATGTTTGCCAATCTGCTTTTCTCCTTATTAATGCTTTCTTTATTCCTTCACTTCTGCTATCTTGTCAGCTAGCCAGCCCGCCCGCCCGCCAGCCCACAAATGCTGTCTAATAGCTTGTGAAAAGACAGAGCTTCTGTCCTCAACTGCCTTATATTCTGTGGGAGAGACCATTGTAGTGGGGGTAATTTCCTAAGTTTCTAGGAAAATATATTCACACTCAGATCCTTTCTACTACTGCCAAGCAAGTCAGGAACCACATCTGTTAGCTATCCATTCTTTGCCCCAGACAGGGGAACTGTTTTTGTCCACTGTTTTGCCTGGTTAATGTGCAATCACAACTTTCTCTGTTGCTTCTCCCATATTGTATCCGCCTGAACGGAACAAAGGCAGAAGAACCTGAACAAAATAAAGGAAAAAGCTGATGAAATAAGGATAATAAGGAGTGAACTCAAAGTTTTCCCAAACTGTGATTCCCAGCATGGCTTTTGGTGCTAATTTGTTCAAGACATCTTTGGTCTTTTTAAAACCGTGATGCTGTTAGTAAAGCAAGAACTGATAGCTGACACAGAACAATGAAAACAAGACAAACAAACAGTAAAATCTCAACTGTCTGTGGGCGTTTAACATAGGAGCACACAGGTCAGAAACCCCAAGGATAATATAGAACCGAACAATTGATTTTTGTAATGAAGAGCCTCAAGTCATTAAGAAAATATTAAATCATGTTGGCCATAGGTTTTTGCTATGATACCAAAACATGCTTTATATTTAAGAGCATTTTAATCAAAATATATATGTAGTGAAAATGGGAATATAAACAGTGCCTGTGTTATCTGGGAAGTTTACTTAGGGAAGAAACTTCATTCCACCAAATAAATTGGATAAATGAACTGCTATTATATGTTGTAATAAGCCATCTTCCATTGAAGTAGCTTTATTTCATAATATTATGTTATATTTCTTTTTCTGCAGTGAAGTTTTAGAAATTTATAGGTCAAATTCCTATAACGTTAACGTGTGAGTTAACACAATAGATAACAAAAAAAAAAGTTTCTCTAAAAAAGCAGCCACAGTTATGGTAGAAGACTAATTGGCAGCCTGTAGGCAATGTAAAGGCTTTTTTTAATGGGGAGTTCCCAGGTGGAGGGAGCTACCTCTTAGAAGAGCAGCAGATCTCAACAAAGGATTTCTTTTTTTCCTGAGAAAGAGGTGAAGATGTGAAGCAAGGAAGGTCATAAAGTACATGGTCATGAGTTAAGGATAAAAGAATATCATGGAATGTTTCTGGCAGTGCAGGGACATGAATGAAAATATGAGATGATTAAATTATGTATAGATGTGTGAATAAGCATGTATGTTTTATTGTTTAGAAAAGACTGGGGTCATGGTGAAATCATTTGCACAAACTCCAGACCAACTCTTTTGATAACAAATCACTACTGTAATGTCTGTGTAGAACAATATCTCACCAAGCATTAGCAGTAAAATATCTTTTATTATTATCTGTTGAAACCAAACGGTACCATTAAAAAAAAAATGTAACCCAAAATAATACTAGACAGTCTCTGGAAGTAGTAATAGGATCTGAGAGCTGAGAAAAAAAAAAAAAAACCTATAAAAAAGAGTGAACAGTCAATAATATACAGTAAGCTGAATTCCCAGACAACAGCATACTCAGACAGTGTTCTAAGAAGTGACACTAAGTTCTCTACAAAGGTGGAATAGCGTGGAAATCAAAGACAAACTCAGATCATTAGAAACAGACAAATAAAGGTATTGAGGATAATCACAGGAGAGATTCTGAATAAGCTGGGATTCTGATGAACATCTTTTTTGGTTATTGATTTTTCATTTTTATAAGAAAGATGATCTAATGGATATAAATTTTCTTCAATTCTAATTACTACTTGAGCTACCTTTGGCATTCCTCATGATGTGTTATCAACCTAAGATTGGCTAACATGCTTACATGAAACAACACAAAAGTTAGTGTAGTATCCATGTTAAATCAATAGATCAGAGAGGCAGAATGTCAATTCTTTGATGCAACTGGATCCCTTAATTCTGAGTGCCAAAATAATCATTGGAGAGTCTGTGATATGTAGATATCTGTATCTGTATCTGCATATACATATAGATAGATTCTGCTCATTTGTCTGTTGGAATTATAAGTATAGGAACAAAATCTGTGAAAATGAATCAATGAAGATTTTGCAAATAGGACTGAATAAATAAAAAATTAAAAATCTCTGGTTTCAATTCAATGGAGATTTTTTTCCTTCCACAACTAATAGCTCAAATGTTACAAACAAAAGCAAGAGACAGATTTGGCTCTGCCCCTGCCTGTTGGTGCCCTATTCTGCCACCCACTGCTATTCCTAGAATTAATGAAATATCAAAACCAGGCTAGTGGAAGTGCTGCTAATTTGGCGTGTAATGAAACAAAAGAATCTAAAACGCATATCCGTCTACTTTTATACGAAGAGAAGACGTTAAAAAAAAAAAAAGAACAAATTACACTTCGTATCAAGGGATATGAAACAATTACAGGAGGAGGAAGGTGGAGGATGTAGGACTCAATGGACCCTTTAATGAATAGTAGCAAAATATCCACCCAAACAAATGACATTCTTCATACCTTAAGGATAGAAAATAGCCAGCATTTCATTCAAACTTTTATGAAAGGATCTTTATAGATTTTCCCCCCACTGACTTAATATCAACTTTTGGAATTAATCGGCTTTCATCAGGGGATGAGGACATGCATCACAACAGCTTTTATATTTTTCCAATCGTCACTTCATCTGGGATTGAGTTCATCCTAGCGAGTTTCCACATTCATCTGACATCAATTATGCCAGCTCCTGCTGATATTCAATTCATGTCATAATAATTAACTTGTATCTATTATAACCATGTCTCATAATTAATGTTTTATTTTTCAAAACTTTTTCTCATGCACATATTTTAAGATATAGCAATCTTAACACTGTTGAAATGTTCTGCTATTTTCATTGTTCATAGCCATAGTAAGACCGACTCTCTCTTTCAAATTTAAATGGTCATGCACATTAGCTCTTTGTTCGTATTTTTGGTATTAATGATGAGGAAAATAATAGTGGAAACTGAATTTCCGCAAAGTGGACTAAATTGCCTTAAACTTAAAAAATCAAATAATTATTTCTATTACTGTCCCGTATTTTCTCTGAAAAAATTGTAAATCTTGCACCATAATCTCTTTATCCTCTTCAGTTTTGAAGAATTTCAAAGGTAGATGTTTGGTCAATAAATAATTCATAACAAGGTCATGCAAACCAAATAGAAAAAGGACTTTGTAGCACTTTTAAGGTACATATTTACCACAACAATGGTATGGAACTAGTTTGACACAAAATTTGAGAAATTCGGAATTTGAATCAGATTCTACAACCTTTGGAAGAAGGAAATTATATATCTAAAACCTTGAACAAGCTTATAACACTCACAAAATTCTCTCACCAATTTCATTAATCTTCTGAGATACAAAATAAAAATTTAAGCAAGATATTGAAAAGGATAAGGCTCCTTCTGCTGTGATTTGGATGGATGATTGGCAGTAAACTTAATAATTGCCCATGAGCTGAAAACTTGAAAGAGTTTTCCATTACATATGGATAACTTTATTTGATCTAAGGATAACTGAAAACTGCAAGCGGACCTTTATGAACAAAAATTGTAACTCGAAGGAAGAATGTCTTTTGTATTCTAAACATGTTTTTTACAATATCCACTGGAGTCACAGACACGCTAAAATGGCTATTCTCTGTGAAAGACTAAGGTTGGTTTCTTCTCTTACCTGTTTTAAGATATGTAATTAGGTTAATATATTTTTACAAGCCAAATAATATATTTAATTCCCCCAGTTCTAAAATACCTCCATTATACTTTTTATATACTAAGAAGTTGCTTTATCAAAAGATAAACTTATTGTGTCTTGTAGTCAATATTCCTTATAAAAGTATAGAGAAAATTATAGAAGCAATTGAAATATTTTGGGAAACACCCCCCCAAAACTGTAATGAGGTTTCTCAGAGACCAAATAACATATTAATTCTGATGTTTTATATTTATGTACCATTTTGCCTTTTAGATAGATAGTATTTTGGGATGTATTATCTCACAGAAATACAGGATATACTATAACATAGAAATTTTAAAAATAGGAGTTAGAATAGGGAAAATGATTGTCTAAAGTTTCATATCTACAACATAGTAAGTCAGGATCTCAAATCCAGGCCATCCCACTCTAAAACTATGCCACTGTGATCATTTTGAGGGTGTAGAATATAAACACATGTTGTCCAATGACAAATGGTATGGGAACAAAAACCTTGATGAGTTCAGGAGTATCTTAGTTTACGGTTCTCAATTGCTGGAAAGAATTAATTCTGGTTAGTTTCTTGAATATCTGACTAAAATATTAGAATCACTCTATTATTCTTTGTTACAGCCACCTTTCTGTGCTGCTGTTTCTACTGATTCTTTATTCCCATCTACCAGGGATTCTCAGGAGTCCAGTGGGTACGGAATGAGGAGAACCCACCAAATTTTTAGTTTCATCCTTTTCTCCAAGTAGATGAGATATTACTAGGGGTGTTCCCAGAACCAAACCAATCACTTAGACAATGTCAAACTATGAAACCCACAGTGAAGATATGACACTGGTATGTCTGAGTCGACTCCAGTTGAAAATCACGCCTTGAAAATGCAACCCGAGACTACAGGCACCTAATGACACCAATTGGTATTCACGCAGGAGTACAGACTGTTACATATGCTCACTGCAAGTTTTGCTTCGGGGAAAATGGAGAACCATTTAAGTGACTCCTTCTGTGCATTGAACTGTCAACTTACAGAAATGCCATACTAATCTTAGGGAAACTCTCTGCAAAGCTCAGTTGAGTGGTGAGTGAATGTAAATGTCCCAACTTATTAAATATCTACTTCATCAAACCTGGCAACCAGGGGGCGATTGATTTTGCACTCAGCTCACCCACACACCCTTATTTATTATATATTATTTTAGAAGACCTTGTTCCTCTCCTGTATATGTGAAATATTTTTCTCCTTCTTAGATATATAATAAAATACACTATTTTAGACACAGCTTTTTTTTGTCATGAGTAGTAGAATTTCAGCTGCACAAATCATCTTTTTAAAAAGATATCTGAATTATCTTACTTAGACTTATGTAATATAATAGATTTACATTTATTTTATATTTTAAAGCTCTACCTCCAATAAGCTTTACACAACAGAACCTAGACACGGTGACAAGTGGAGCAGCAATCAAAAGATAGCTTCTACAGTTGTAAAAGCAACCCTAACCACTGACCCATGATCTTCAACCATAAAAGTGAGAAACAAAACAGAGGTTCAATAGCATTTGTAGAAACTGTAAAATAAAGCCAAAAAACCCCAATAACAATAGAAACAACATTTAACCCTGCTCTTGATAACATATGTGTAACCTGATTTATTTAAAAAAAAAAAAAAAAAAAATTATTTTAAGAAAGTCTACATTTTAAATTTTGGAAACTTGACATTTTTCCCTCTGCCTGAAAAATGAATGGGCGTGGGGAGTGGGGAAGAAAGAAAGAATGCATTTGCCAGGTGGGTTTTCCAAGTCCTGATTATTAAACAGTAATTTTCATCGGATTTTAAATGCTCCCGTCCATAGCAAAACTGTAGAAGGATGATACAGCTAAATCACTGCTGATAAACAATTAGTTGAGTCTGCTGTCTCAAGCCAAGATTGGCAGCGTCTGCTGCTCTTGTAATCAAATTCCTCAGCATTCAATACAGCAGGACTGAGTTTCCTAGTTAATGCTATAAAGCAACACTGAATAAATACAAATGGCTTAATCTTCTTTTGCAGTCATATCCTCCCACACTGGTGTATGTAATTAGAAAAATACTACATCTCATGTACTGAATAGTGAATACAGCAGATTGTTAATCATTATATTTACATGGCTTATATAAAAAGTATTTAAATTCATGAGTACTATAAGATTTCTTTTAAAGAATAGTAACACATATACAAAAATGTGTATTGTCATCTCTGTAGCTTATTGATGTGTTTATAGTACTTCCTTTAAAAATTGTTGCATAACAAAAATTCAGGTGCCAAATATTGACAAAACAAAATATTGAAAAAAAAGTGTATATATATTTTTGTTTATATCTATATCCATCTCTATACATACATATAACACAAACACACATATATATATAAAACAAACAAATTTGATGGAGTTTGCAAATTCCAAGGAAAAGACACATTCACACACACATGAAAATATAATCCCACATTCAAATAAAATGTGACATATTAAAATGTATCATAAATGTATTTCTAGTGAAGCCTATTTTATAAAATGTATTGTGTACTATATTTTATCTGTATTTTACACCAATGTAATATTGATTTCCTACAAAAACACATTAAATAAGAGATTTATGAGAAAGGTAGCAAATCTCTTTCGGCCAATAAACCGTAACTCTTTTGTGTCTGCTTTATGAACAGGAGCAAAAATGGTAATGCTTCATGTATTTCAATAATTTATCCA